CCTAAACAACGCAATTTTTTAAAAACTTTGGTAAACATTTTGTTAACTCTGCTCGTAATATGTTCTAGTTTTGGGAACAGAAAATTGTATTGAGATCAAATGTTTCATCGATGAGAAAAGTATCAGTATGTCGGGCAAAATCCATCTCGTTCCAACTTCTCCCACTGCTGGCAACTGGGCTTCCTCTCACTACCATATTTGGTAGTGAGTGGAAACGCCAAGCGGATGCTTCACATTTATACATCTGGTGAAATATCTGTCTCATTGTTCTATCTGTGGCTGAACTGAGGTCCACACTCCAGTCCAGGTAGTGGTGGTAATCAGTGTTGACCCGTCATTCAGGGCAGGTGGGGCAGAGTCCCACTTGTTTTGTTTTGAGCCCCACAGCAAAATAATTAAATTATTTAAAAAGTTAAAAATGCATGTTATTTAGCCATTTAATAAGTGTCACATATCAGTTTGCAAACAATGTAAAAAATATATATATATCATTGAGTTAATAAAGCTGCATACAAACATGGGTCTCTTTTTTGTTTTCTTGAGTAAGGCAGCTCCAAAAAGTAGGTGTTTCAGCCTAGCTCAGTGCTTTCTGTGATGGTGGGGCAAGCCAGCAGAAAATACGAAGCTTTGCGCCATGATTGGCCCAGTGTTCTGTCATTACATTTACATTTACATTTTAGTCATTTAGCAGACGCTCTTATCCAGAGCGACTCACGGGAGCAATTAGGGTTAAGTGCCTTGCTCAAGGGCACATTGACAGATTTTTCACCTAGTCGGCTCGGGAATTAGCGGGGACACTACGTCACCGCCAAGTCTAAGGGTAGACCTCGAAAATTCAAGCCCTTTGGGTCCTGCCATAGAGTAACATTAGAAGTGCCCTTCCAAGAAGGTCATTGGCCACAGATAAAATGACGTCAAATCACATTATATGTACAGTAGCTTTGATTGGACTAATCATGTCAACATCATACTTTAAAAATCTTAGCTAGCAGTCATCATCATGAATCAAGTCGACAATCTACTGGCAAATCCTTTTTAATCCTTGTCATATGAAGATAAATAATGAAGAGAAATTATAGATAAAACGTATTGGTGCTAATCGGCCATTGGACATTAACATTACATAAGTTGGAAATCGCAAATTCAACAATGAGTGATTTGGAAGGAATCGGTGACAGTGGCTAACTGCACGCATCGCAAAGCAATCACTAGCCTGCTATTCAGTGGAGTGGCTGTGTGGTCCCAAATCTGGGATTAAGGGGCTCTTTTCCAAGTTTAAAATTATAAACATTCAACATTTCCAATGCTGTCAATAAAGCATGATTTGTGCCGTGCTCAAAACAACTGTTAACTCGGAACTGTGAAAACTTGACTTCCAGTGAGTTCAAGACAACTGGGAAGTCGGGAATAAATTAGCCCTGAGTGGGGAAAATACGTTTTGAATGGTCATCCAACTCGGAATTGTAAATTCAGCCTCTTTCTCTTTCTTTGATGACAAAGTTTACCCACGGACGACCGCCGCGACACCTTCCTGTTCAACTGAGAACAGCACAACAAGGTGAGTCCAAAGATGTATTGTATGCTGCTGCAAAAATTATGTAATATGCCAGGAAGATATGTATACTGTAGCTAAGAAAGTAATACTAAGTGTACACCACCAGTAAAAAATTTGGACACACCTACTCATTCAAGGGTTTTTCTTTATTACATTGTAGAATAATAGTGAAGACATCAAAACTATGAAATAACACACATGGAATCATGTAATAAACAAAAGTGTTTAAACAATCAATATATATTTTATATTTGAGATTCTACAAATAGCCACCGTTTGCTTTGATGACAGCTCTGCACACTCTTGGCATTCTCTCAACCAGCTTCACCTGGAATGCTTTTCCAACAGTCTTGAAGGAGTTCCCACATATGCTTAGCACTTGTTGGCTGCTTTTCCTTCACTATGCGGTCCGACTCATCCCAAACCAGCAAAGCACCCCCACACCATAACACCACCTCCTCCATGCTTTACGGTGGGAAATACAAAATGCGGAGATCATCTGTTCACCCACACCGTGTCTCACAAAGACACGGCGGTTGGAACCATTATGGTGTGGGGGTGCTTTGCTGGTGACACTGTCTGTGATTTATTTAGAATTCAAGGCACACTTAACCAGCATGGCTACCACAGCATTCTACAGCGATATGCCATCCCATCTGGTTTGGGCTTAGTGGGACTATCATTTGTTTTTCAACAGGACAATGATCCAACACACCTCCAGGCTGTGTAAGGTCTATTTTACCAATAAGGAAAGTGATGGAGTGCTGCATCAGATGACCTGGCCTCCACAATCCCCCGCCCTCAACCCAATTGAGATGGTTTGGGATGAGTCGGACCGCAAAGTGAAGGAAAAGCAGCCAACAAGTGCTAAGCATATGTGGGAACTCCTTCAAGACTGTTGGAAAAGCATTCTAGGTGAAGCTGGTTGAGAGAATGCCAAGAGTGTGCAGAGCTGTCATCAAGGCAAACGGTGGCTATTTGAAGAATCTCAAATATAAAATATATTTTGATTTGTTTAAACACTTTTTTGTTTATTACATGATTCCATATGTGTTATTTCATTGTTTTGATGTCTTCACTATTATTCTACAATGTAGAAAATAGTAAAAAATAAAGAAAAACCCTGGCATTAGTAGGTGTGTCCAAACATTTGACTGGTACTGTATGTTGTGTAGTAATATGTTAGTAGCCCATGTGCCTCACCCTAATAATTTGGTCTATTTACCCCTCTTTATTTCGCCTACTGTTATGACTTGGTGGTGCACATGTAGCCTATAACCTGTTTTAGAGAAATGTTATCATCGAATATTGTAAGGCACTCATTGTCTGCTTATATGCCCCCCTTTATTTATTATACGGTTCTGACTTGGTGTACAGGGAGAACACTGTAAGAACGGCCCATGTTCTGAATTCTGTCGCTGTACATTTCAAAGGTGCTAAACAAATAGTTATATTGACTACGTCCGTCCTAGCTCGCTCATTAATGTCTTAATCGAAATTACGATTGCCTCTTATCTGCTTGTCGTCCCCTTATGCCATAGTTTGCACATCTCAATTGTCATTAGAAACCACATTTGTTTAAGCATGTCAGCCATATCAGCTATGTTTTTTTTTTTTTTAAGGCAGTAAATTAGGCTGAATGAACTTTTTCGCTGCCAGACAAGGCTCTGCTGATAGCTAGGTGTAGCAGTGGTAAGATGTTGGACTGCTTCTGGGACAGCTTTATGTAGGCCCTAACAGTTTGTGGGCACCGTTTGTCACCGTTATTGTGCAATGAATGTATTGTTTAGTGTTGTGGCTTGCATCCCACTTATTTTTTTGCCCCACCAAGATTTACACGCTAAAATCGCCACTGGTGGTAATGCACCTTAAAGTTGGTTGCCAACCGCCATATAAGGTCCATAGAAGAAGAAGAAGACTGATGGAGGAGAGATTACTAGAAACTAACTAGGTTTTCCCTTTTATCTGTGGATTAATTATCGGAGTAGAGAACACACGATTTTGTGTGACTCAAAATGGGTCAAAATTCCACAAAGATCAAGGGAAAAAAGGACCTTGTGCATTTCAGCTAAAATAACAACCCAATGTTTATATCCCAGGACAAATTAGCTAACAACTGCAGGCTAGCCATCTAAATGTCCATGAATGTTTCGACCTGTCACCAAATTAATATAGTTTGTTCAGAGTTCGTTTTGATATGTTAACATTCATATCCTGATCGCGTCTGGTGTGGATGGACCAAAATCAACATGCGCGTGCCCGGTGTAGTCAGCGTATCAGTCTGACAGTACCACTTACAGATTCGTCGAAAGCTAGCACGTGACTGACCTGCCTGATTGTGACGTCAAATGCCGGTGCCTCTAAAATAATGTGACCTTCCATTACGCCCGCAGTAGGACCATTCCATAGGCAGCCGATAATTCCTTGGGTGGTTTAAAAGATATTAATCAAAGGTAATAATCGTGACTCATTTTGTTAAATTGTTTCAAATTCTGTTTTACCTTGCGACCGTATCACTGTTGCTGGTATTCCACTAAAATTATGATATACCAGTACACGGGACTCGAGTTGGTAACGGTGTCGCGTGTCCTGGGTTTTGAAGAATAGGAATTGCGTAAACCTAACCGGTAATTCGAAAACAATTGACTAAGGCTGTGCCCATCCATCCATGCCCTTTTAGATTGTCTAACTAATATTTGATTGCTAACGTTATTTATAATAGATTTGATTAAAGTGTTTGATTTATAGGTAGCTAGGTAACTAAGTATTGCAGATCATTGACATCTTCTTAGCTTGTTAGCTAGCTAGCTCAGCATCACTGACAGTGACAGCTCCTTGTCAATAATAGCGGCAAATTACTTGGCCAAACTAGTAGTACTAACGTTACCCATCTAACTGACTAGCAAAGTCACTGGTCAGTTTTCTTCTAGAAAAAGTATGTTCTCGTAGTAAGAAACTCAATTACAACTAGCTAACTCGTTTTTGTTTTAACTATAAATTACGTATTGGTTCGCTAAATCGACAGATTGTTGTACTGTATCTTCTGCCATTGATGGGGAAAGTGAACGAGCCCGCGATGTCGGCTACAATGCTCCGGTGATGGCTAGCTAGTTAGTTAGCTAACTTTATCTGGTTGACTTCTGGCTGAGCTAGCTCAAGGCAGTGTGGCTAATTTGGCCCGTGAAGCTTTTAGCTATATTTTTCTAAGCAAAAAGTTGCTAATTTGGTAGCTAACGTTAGTTACGTAAATTAGCTAGCTAACAAGTTCACGTTACCTCAAATGACCTTTAGATTGTAGAATCACCTTCATCGGGGAGGAGGCCCAGTTGCTTGCTGTTAATCAACTGAATATTGCTCAGACTAATCCAGACCAAGTCATGGATAACGTTAGGTTAGCTACGCTCTGCTTTATCACCTAACGTGCTGTGTTCTCCACTAGGTTACTATGGGTGACATTGCAAAGGGAAAGAAGGCCTTCGTTCAGAAATGCGCCCAGTGCCACACTGTCGAAGAGGGTGGGAAGCACAAAGTGGGTCCAAACCTTTGGGGTCTGTTCGGACGTAAGACTGGTCAGGCTGAGGGCTACTCCTACACAGACGCCAACAAGAGCAAAGGTAGGCCTTTTCACCTGTCCTCCTAGTTAGTGGGAAATGGCTAGAAGGGATCCAGATTGTAAAATTAACCTTAAACTAATTCTCCAAACCTGATGCATTCATTTTCCTAACCTGCTACGAAAGTCAAATCGTCTCGAATTGGTCTTATCTAACAAAATTTGAAATTGTGTTTTTTACATTGGATAAAAGTAGCAACTCGGAGCTAGAAAATTGTATCATACACTACAGTTGAGGAACAATGGGGAAAGTAATTCTGCTTTGAAAGTTGATCAACTTGTAACCACACTTTTGAGAAAATGGCCCTTGAATGTTTCGGTACACCTACTAGAGAGCTCTTTGTCTACACCCATTCAGCATTGTTTACACCCTCTTAAACCTATCTCTTTAAGGATTTGACATGTGAGGCCATGTGCAAAACAGACTAAAGGCTGGTTTATACTACGTCTATCGTCATGAACATTCTATTGTTGTCCGACATCAAACTTGTCGTTATGAAAAGGTATAAAAACAAATAACAGGCTGCGTGACATCAGCAGCCTGGTGGTCCAAAATAGCAGAACTGGTGTATTTTAACACCAATAAACCCATCTGTTTAAAAATTAATTTAGTATATGTCAATCTAGCAAACCAGGCAACTAAAAGCAACTTGTAGTTTCTAGCTTGTTAGCTGGCTAGCCAGTTCAATTAATGACCATATCATAGCTGACAAAGATTTAACTTTAGCTAATTTTTATTCATTATTACAGGAAAAAAAACTAAACAAGAATTATTTACAAGTTAATGGTGAGCTAATTATAGAAAATAGCTTACGGTTGTGAGTTTGACAAAATAAAAGCAGGGCATTCTACCGGAGATTTTTAGAACTCGTTGGCCTAACGTTAAATCCTAATTTGACTTTGGTGCAGGTCATGTTGTTCTTCACATTACCGTCTCTGGTAAACGCACACTATATCAAATAAAATATATACGTTTATTTGTTACATGCACAGTATACAGAAGGTGTAAACGGTACAGTGAAATGGTTACTTGCATAGTGGAGTCTTTTGTTTAGACATGTAGCTAGTTAGCTAAACAATTAACTATACTCCCAACTCATAATGTTACTACCATGCATTAATCTGCAGGTAGCCAAAGCTAACCAACTAGGTTCAATGTTAGCTAGCTAGCTAACATTAGGCCATAACTAGCAATGCAAATGACTGTCTGAGATGCGAATAATGTTACTACACAGATGATACACGTAACGTTTGCTAGCAAGCCAGCCAGCTAACGTTAGCTAGCTAGCTAACAGTACGCTTTAACTTGCAATGAAAGCAACTTTCTGACAAAATTTAAACATATCTGAAAATGTAGCTCGCTAGACTCTCTTACTCATACATGGATGAATGCTTCTCCCTCTCTGTCATGGATGCCATGGTTGCCCTTAGTTTGAAGATGTAATCCGGAGACAGGTGTTTTTATTACAACAGCCTTCTGTGTGTTCTCTTTTCGACTCCCTCCGCATATTTGCAATCAAACGCCAGAATTCTCTTAGCTATCATACTCTGCTTCCACCAGGCATTTCACTGATTTCAAAACTGTCAACTTCTTCTGTGACAACAACACTGTTGATTGCCGTTTCAGAAGACTACTATTTTTTTTCTAAATCAGGGATTTCCTCATCGTCTGATTCATTTTCGGAGTCAGAGTCAGCATGGCACGATAGTCCTCCAGAAAGTGGAGAACATTAGCAACACTTTTACAGTTCTTTGTAATATCTTTTTAAAAAGACGTGTTAGAAAGGATTACCTACACATACTGAGCAGCTCATGTTATAGATAGAAGTATGCTACATGGCAGACCAATCCGAACTCATCTCTCGGGATGTCCAGCCCATTCATTATCTCAGCTAATCATGCCTAGTGGGAAGGTTGCTGTCTTTTTCTGTGGCTAAACCAACTAGGCTCGTAATTTAACAATTGTATTCATATTTACAGATGGCATATAAGTTTGCTATTAAAGTTCACATGTTCCAGAAGGCATTTGTGCCACCAAAAATGCATTTTGATGAAGAATAAATGTTTACGTTCAAAATCCTCTCCTGTGAAATAGTTACGTGCGACATACGCCTGGTTTGCTGAAACAAGTCACAATTTGACAAAAGCTGGATCCCTTCTAGCCATGACCTAGTTAGTGTGGCTGAGTCAATTCACATTTCTGGTCAAGTGAGGAAATGTATAGTTGTCCCCAAACTTGCAGGTCATGAATAAAATGTCAGCTAATTAACTGAATGTTGTCTTGATGTACAGAGTTCCTTGCCTTACCTAAGGGATTGTATTATTCTCTTGTAGGCATTACTTGGGGTGAAGCCACCCTGATGGAGTACTTGGAAAACCCAAAGAAATACATTCCAGGAACAAAGATGATCTTTGCTGGCATCAAGAAGAAGGGCGAGCGCCAAGACCTTGTTTCATATTTGAAGTCTGCGACATCGTAAAACATTGTATTTGAAGATAAATATTTAAGTTAAATGTATTTTTAGTATGTTTGCTGTCCATTTTTGATCTGTACTTCAATGACACAAAATCACTATATAATGGCCAGGACTCATCAATCTTTGTGTTGTCATGGAATGTGTCCAATGCCAGACCCATCTTACTTGTGAACAGAATCTAATTTCACTTGATTTCATGCTGATAATGCTGAGATATCAGTCATGGTTGATCAGCTGGTGGTTACTGAAGGTCCCTGGTTTCCCTCCCTCCTGAAGGAATGACAATATATCCCCTGGTTTAACAGGAGCTGTTGAAAGTTAAGTTATTTTACTGTAATGAAAGTTATAAGTATTCCAGAAGGCTGTTTGTAATTGAAGTGGCTATATGCACAATGGTAGCTATGGTATGTACCTGAAGGAATTGATCAATAAACTGCTATAATAGAGCATGCATTGCTTTTTTTCTTTGCATAAAGAACAAAGGATTGATATTCCACAAGGATATACAGTTGAAGTCAGAAGTTTACATACACTTAGGTTGGAGTCATTAAAACTCGTTTTTCAACCACTATAGTTTTGGCAAGTATGTTAGGACATCTACTTTGCATGACACAAGTAATTTTTCCAACAATTGTTTACAGACAGATTATTTCACTTATAATTCACTGTATCACAATTCCAGTGGGTCAGAAGTTTACAAACACTAAGTTGACTGTGCCTTTTAAACAGCTTGGAAAATGCAGCCATAGGTGCCAATCAGAATGAGTTTTTCCCCACAAAAGGGCTTTATTACAGACATTAATATTCCTCTGTGGCGTTGTGTGACAAACCTGAACATTTTAAAATTGCTTTTTATTGTCCCCACCGAGTGGCGCAGTGGTCTGTGCCACTAGAGATCTTGGTTCGAGTCCAGGCTCTGTCGCAGCCGGCCGTGACTGGGAGACCCATGGGCGACGCACAATTGGTCCAGCGTCGTCCAAGGTAGGGGAGGGTTTGGCCGGCAGGGATGTGGGTTCGTTTCCCACGGGGGGCCAGTATGAAAAATAAAAATAAAAAATAATAAAAAAAACATGTGTGCATTCACTAACTGTAAGTCGCTCTGGATAAGAGCGTCTGCTAAATGACTAAAATGTAAATCTAAGGTGCACCTGTGTAATGATCATGCTGTTTAATCAGCTTCTTGATATGCCACACCTGTCAGATGAATGGATTATCTTGCCAAAGGAGAAATGCTCACTAACAGGGATGTAAACTAATTTGTGAACAAAATTTGAGATAAATAATATTTTTGTGCGTATGGAACATTTAATCTATTTTATTTTATTTCAGCTCATGAAACGTCGGACCAACACTTTACATTTTGTGTTCATATTTTTGTTCAGTGTATTATATCTATATATTATACATCTAGCACCTGAGGTCTGTACAGTCGTGGTCAAAAGTTTTGAGAATGACACAAGTATTGGTCTTCACAAAGTTTGCTGCCTCAGTGTTTTTAGATATTTTTGTCAGATGTTACTATGGTATACTGAAGTATAATTACAAGCATTCCATAGGTGTCAAAGGCTTTTATTGACAATTACATTAAGTTTATGCAAAGAGTCAATATTTGCAGTGTTTACCCTTTTTCAAGACCTCTGCAATCCGCCCTGGCATGTTGTCAATTAACTTCTGGGCCACATCCTGACTGATGGCAGCCCATTCTTGCATAATCAATGCTTGGAGTTTGTCAGAATTTGTGGGTTTTTGTTTGTCCACCCGCCTCTTGAGGATTGACCACAAGTTATCAATGGGAATAAGGTCTGGGGAGTTTCCTGGCCATGGACCCAAAATGTCGATGTTTTGTTCCCCGAGCAACTTAGTTATCACTTTTGCCTTATGGCAAGGTGCTCCATCATGCTGGAAAAGGCATTGTTCGTCACCAAACTGTTCTTGGATGGTTGGGAGAAGTTGCTCTCAGAGGATGTGTTGGTACCATTCTTTATTCATGGCTGTGTTCTTAGGCAAAATCCTTTGGCTGAGAAGCAACCCCACACATGAATGGTCTCAGGATGCTTACTGTTGGCATGACACAGGACTGATGGTAGGGCTCACCTTGTCTTCTCCGGACAAGCTTTTTTCCGGATGCCCCAAACAATGGGAAAGGGGATTCATCAGAGAAAATGACTTTACCCCAGTCCTCAGCAGTCCAATCCCTGTACCTTTTGCAGAATATCAGTCTGTCCCTGATATTTTTCCTGGAGAGAAGTGGCTTCCTCGCTGTCCTTCTTGACACCAGGCCATCCTCCAAAAGTCTTCGTCTCACTGTGCATGCAGATGCACTCACACCTGCCTGCTGCCATTCCTAAGCAAGCTCTGCACTGGTGGTGTCCCGATCCCGCAGCTGAATCAACTTTAGGAAACGGTCCTGGTGCTTGCTGGACTTACTTGGGCGCCCTGAAGCCTTCTTCACAACAATTTAACCTCTCTCCTTGAAGTTCTTGATGATCCGATAAATGGTTGATTTAGGTGCAATCTTACTAGCAGCAATATCCTTGCCTGTGAAGCCCTTTTTTTTGCAAAGCAATGATGACGGCACGTGTTTCCTTGCAGGTAACCATGGTTAACAGAGGAAGAACAATGATTTCAAGCACCACCCTCCTTTTAAAGCTTCCAGTCTGTTATTCTAACTCAATCAGCATGACAGAGTTATCTCCAGCCTTGTCCCCGTCAACACTCTCACCTGTGTTAACGAGAGAATCCCTGACATGATGTCAACTGGTCCTTTTGTGGCAGGGCTGAAATGCAGTGGAAATGTTTTTTTGGGATTAAGTTCATTTTCATGGCAAAGAGGGACTTTGCAATTAATTGCAATTCATCTGATCACTCTTCATAACATTCTGGAGTATATGCAAATTGCCATCATAAAAAACTGAGGCAGCAGACATTGAAAATTAATATTTGTGTCATTCTCAAAACTTTTGACCACGACTGTACCTGGAAATACAATATAAAGATGGCTAAGCGAGAATCTTTAATCAGAGGTACTCTATATCAGTGTTTCCCAACCCTGGTCTTCCAGTACCCCCAACAGTATACATTTTCATCGTAGCCCTGGACAAACACACCTCATTTAACAAGTTGTCCAGGGCTGCAATGAAAATGTGTACTGTTGGGGCTACTCAAGGACCAGGGTTGGGAAACACTGCTCTATATAATGAAGAGATGGTCCGCCCTAACAATGGAAGCTACAGTTCTGTGTAGCTCAGTTGGTAGAGCATGGCCAGGGTTGTGGGTTCGATTCCCACGGGGGGCCAGTATGAAAATGTATGCACTCACTAACTGTAAGTCGCTCTGGATAAGAGCGTCTGCTAAATGACAAATTTTTTATTAAATTTTTTTATGTTGAAGTTTTCCCGTTTGGACAAAAGTTTGTCCTCTGTCCTCTCCTCTGTGACCCAGAAACCGATGAGTGTCAATTCGTTAGTAGGCAAGCGGAAGACTGTCCTCCCCACCTCAATAGCCTCCTTTTGGCGAGGAAGCGCAAGTGCATCCTACCGCGGAAGAGTTTTGATATCTGCCTACTACACCCCCTTTGAATCTGCTGTTGTATTGTTGGAGGAGAAAAGCATGCACACATTTAAAAACGATATGCTAGTTATCCTTTTATATATACAATGTCTTGCACAGCTAGCTGCATTTGTTTTATCACTTTATACATTCATTTTGGGATTCCACTTTGTAAACATAATTTGCCTGATGACGCGCGATTGGAGAATCATTTCTAATTTCATACAAGAGCATTTTTGTCCACGCTGCCTCTCCTTGATTACCTTTGACCTGTTTCAAAAGGAGGCCAGAGAGGATGGAGGAGAGAGGACGCAGATGTTGAGCAAATCTAATTGAGAAAAGGCCATAGTCGCAAAGGCGGAAAGGCAGGAGGAAGGAGGCGAGATCAGATGTGAACATTCTAGCCGATGAGAGCGCAGATACGCGTGTGAACAACAGACACAACTCCGATTATAAAGTCTATTCGATCGAATAAGACTCACTTAGCAAATTAGCAAGTCAATTTTTTGGGACAAAATCCGTCACTCTCACAGACCCCAATACAAAAAAATCCACACTTGGGGCTCTATTCAATCTGTAAAGCGTTACAGATTGCGAGATAGAAATGTAAAGGTAATTTCCGATTGAGCCGACATATGCAGCGTTTATCGTGAATGCAGCCTTCATTTCAATCATGCTCTAACGCTGACTTCAGCAATATGGATTGAATAAAGCTCTTGATCTGCTTTTCGCTGTATTCTCACATGGATAGATTTTGACGGAAGTGGAGCCTCGCTTCCTCTCTGCCTTTATTGCTGTTTTATGGCCATTTGCCACAAATACATTTTTTACAAGTGGCACAAGGGGTCCGGCAATGATTAACAACCGATCAGGAAGTAAAGGTTTAGAATCTATTGCGGGAACAATAGAGGAGAAATAGAGGAAAGCGTTCCACTGGTGATGTAATAACTAATGTGATTTTTCATTAATTTGTGGAAGTGCATGTGTGTGTAAGTAAATAAACTCATGCAATAACTACCCAAGGCCAGGATTCAATCTGATCATAGCTGTGCACCTTTAGGCTTTGTCAGACAATTATGCTAACAGTTTGACAAAGGCAGTCCTTGGAAGACATTCTGTAATTGTTGGGATTTGTCAGTGATGAGCTCTACTGCAGGGGACAATGCACTCTGTTACCTTTGGAGCAGCTTTGAAAACCACTGGAACAGGGCCCCACTGGGTCATCGCCCCAAACCCACAGAGCTCAGCACTCTCCTGAATAGCCATACACAATCTGCTAATAAAGCCAGCAATCCTATTAAATAATGAAAGCAAGAATGTAAACAGAGAGGAGCAGTGTTAGCTGCTTCTAACATAATATGGAGATAATTATATTGACTGGATAGGCAAACTCCTCTGGCATTGGAGACTACAGTGCTCTAGTTGTGTGGTACGCAGTTGCATCCTCACAATAA